GTAGTGGGAGAAATTCCCAATAACGAGGACATTAAATGTAATTTATTGCTGCAGGAATTAGTGGGACGCGTGGCAGCATCCTGTTGTTTTGGCCGTTTCTGCAGAAACAGAGAGACGCAGCGTGCGTCCTCGTTTTTGGGATTTGTCATAATGACAAATTATGAAGTGATGTTTGGTACTGCACGCCGTACTGAAAGTGACGTCCTAGGATCAAATCAATGATGGTTTCTTGGGATTGCCAATAGTTGGTAAAAAGCAACAAAAAGTGCACAAGTTAACTTGTGACTAAGCGTGGAAAAACGGGTGTCGAATGGCGTTTTCAAAGAATGCCTTTTTCTTTCAGAGTCGAAATAAGGCATTCTTGGGGGGCAATTTGTTGGCTCCTAAATTCGACACCTTTGTTTTGATTGGTGGCAGCCATTAAAAGCTGAAAGATGCTTTCGACTGGCTAAGCCTGTCGAAGTGCCCGTCGAAAGATGGTAAAAAACTTAGCAGATTTCTTCCAAGAAAGAAGGCTGATTGCCTTCGACGTCGAAGGAGTTTTCGTCGAAGACGTCTCTTGGTGAAGGTGTTCGATGGTCCAGAGTGGAGCAGTTTGAAATTCAAAGCTTTGGAGGAAAAACGGTTTCCAGCAGTTACTACGTGCAAACGTGCAAGGATCTGGAGCGTCGAGCATGGAGAACGTGCCAAGTGGCTTAATCTCGAAGCAGTGTAACTGCCCGACGGTTACTTGGATTGTTTTTGTATAAATAGGAGTAGATATGTAGTTTCTCGCGTGTGTTCACAATAGATACATAGTCACTCATTTAGATTCAAGTACCCAGTGTGAGCGAACGAATTGTTGAGAAATGTATGTGTGAAACACCAATTTTATCAATTAAAGTCATTTACTTTTCCAGTATTTTAAATGCTTTTTCCCTTTAAATTCCTGTCGAACCTTTACATTCAAGCCTTGTTTATTTTACCAAGCCTTTCCTTTATGCAATTTACTTTAAACAATTTACTTAAAGCCTTATCCAACTTAATCAAACATCAAAATCAACCTATGTCCATAGGATCAATCTGATCGATCCTGCGAGTAACCAAATAAGTAACCATTTGGAGGATCAGCGGTTGTTTACCAAAACCCTAGGTAAACAATAGAGAAATAAGAACAAAAATGAGCCTCGAGCTCATGACTTTGTTTATGTAATGCTCTATGTTCTTTGATGCGCGCCAGGTGGCTCCTTGAGAGCCCCTGAATGAGGTGACCATTGACTGGTCTCCTGCGCTCTCACACACCATACACTTAGTTAATGCCTCATCGCAACCATCCGTTTGACATACTTTAGATCAATGGTCCAGGCTCAACGCTTGCTGGCCTTTTAATCTATATCTAATGCGCCAGATCTCGGTAACCCACCATAACGCCTACGCTCACTCACACGATGCTCAAACAAGCCCATAAATTAATCAATTAAATTAAATTAAATAATTTATTTTGTTTATTTATTTTATTTTGTTTACATAATGTCTCATAACCCTTTTTAATATATTGCATTAAAATATTTTTTGCATTTGTCATAAAATCATTTTAATAGATAAATATTGGATTAAAAATATTTAATATATTTTAATAATAAGAAAATAGTTACTTATTGATTATGTTCTAAAATACTAACTATATTTTATTTCTATTTATCAAATATTTTTATCATTCAAATTTATCTTCTTTTTTTTTTAATTTGTGTCACGCATTCTAAGATAGCTAACCAATCAAATGTAACAACTTTTTATTCTAACATAATTAAAATTCAACTTTATTTAAAAAAAAGGATTGTGGAATTATTTTCTATTAATTGCGAACCGCGTCTACGACTACGTTATTTTCAAATCCATACAAGGATCAAGGATAATTACAAACATTTCCACAAACCATAAAAAAACTAACCATACACATACGAACTAAGATAATTGGACTTTGATTTCGTGCAAGAAGATATGTAGGCACGCGGTTAAAACCAAGGCGAGTCCTGCTATTAAAAAATTATATCCTTTTCTTAAACATATGGAAACATTAACTTCTAAATAGAAATCCCAGATCTACCCTTAAACCTAAAAGTGGAGCCCCTTGAGAATAAGAGAGATAAAGGGTGCCTAACACCTTCACTTTATTTACCCGACTCACAAATTTAGAATCTCTGTACAAATCAGGGTTATCCCTTCTTCCCCGTCCTTAGGACAAAAAGTAGTGGTGGCGACTCGTTATTTTTTGCTGATTATGACAACTACTTTGTAAAAGTAAAATGTGAGAAGCGATATGATTAGAAGCACCTCATTCTACAAACCAGGCTTGTGTTTTAAGATCTTGTGGTATGTTGACTTGTTTATGATGTGCTACATATATTGAGGCTTCGGGAGTAGTGACAGTTGGTGCATTTAAGCTTTGAGCATCACTTGTACTTGCAGATGCAGTACCTTGAGCATGTGATTTTGATGCAGTTGGAACAAAGTTCTCATCAAATCTATGCCAACAGTCAAGTACAGAGTGTCCATACTTGTTACATAATTGATAAGTAGGTCTATTTCCTGGTGTAGCCTGTTGTCTTGCATCATGAGTAGAATTTTGTCGAGCACCATGTTCACGACCTCGAGCATATCTGCCTCTCCCACGTGAGTAACCATTCTTAGTAGGAGTTGGCACAAAGGAACCATAAGTAACATTGACATATGCACTTGAAGTGGCAAGCTCTTGCTTGTACTTATCCTTATGTGCTTCTTGCACATATAGTAAAGCTTCGACCTCGTAAGTATTAGTGAAATCACCTTTGTTATATATCATCATGATGAATGAATTGTATTCTACAGGTAACCTCTGAAGAATCACATCCACTTGATCCCTCTCAGAAATTGGATCGCTCATGGCCAAAAGAGAATTTGTGATAGTTATAATACAAAGAACATACTCATATATGGAACCGGTACCTTTCTTGCTAGTCTTTAGTTCAGATCGTAGCTGATGAACACAAGCCTTCATTTGAGAGTTGAAGTGTTGATGGACTTTGTCCCAAACTTCATGAGCAAGCTTGCATGTAAGGACTCGAGGTATCACTGATTCAAAGATGGTTGATCATAACCATGTGAAGAGGGTTGAATCATGTATAACCCATGCTTCATACTCTTCATACACAAAATTGGAGATCCGATCAAGATCACTTTTGAACATGGGTGGAACTTGCAGATTCACAACAAACCTATGCAACTTATGTGAAAGAATAACTCATTCCACATGTTAATTCCATAACAAGAAATTGTTATCTTGTAGTTTGATGGAGATTTTAGGGCCAAACAAAGATGAAGACCTTGAGAAACTCAGTTGCGACATAAAATTCTGAAACTGGTGTACAATCTCTCCACGTGGGGGTAGTTTGCACTAAGACTCGATGAGTGCTCAAGATATGCCATTCTTGTTTCTCTGAAACTTTGAGTAGCAGATGCAACTTAGGGCTATAGAAAAGATATATCGCATTTCTCTGAAACTTTGTAGCGGACAATGAGGTTGCAGGAGGTGTGAGTTTATCTAAAACTACTTGAAAACACATTCTTCTATGAAGATATGATCCTACATCTTGTGGAAGCTTCAATTGTGGCTGCCAAGAAGATTGCAGGAAAGTTAAAGTGCAACAGAAATATGGTCTTATGGCGATTGATACCGTGTTAAGGGATGGTCTTTGATCATTGCCATGTTTAATCATTATGTGATTGAAGAAGAAAGATAATGATAATGATGTGGGAAAGATGATGAGAGAAAGAAGAATGATAAGTGTAATATTAGTTGACCAAATGAATATAACCATAGCTATAGCTTTTATAGTTGGGGTTAGTTACATTAGGTGTAATTAACTTCATAACCCCTAACTAACTACCTTCAATAACACAACTAACATAATTCTAAAACCTTTCACTAATAATCATGTATTGGAAATAATGAAATTTTTATTAATTAGAGGGTAGAATTCATAAAACGGTATTGAAAATTGAAACGAGTAATTAATTTTGGAATACTATTTTATTTTAAATGAGTCATTCATTGTAAGTTACAGAGAGTATAACAATAAGAATAAAGTCCTTCCGAAGGCACTTCGAAGACGAGAACAATAAACGTATTCCCCCTCCCCCACTTAAAATACTATAATATCCTTAATTTATATATAATTTTAATTTTTATATAGATTTATTTGTCATTTCATATAATTTATTTTATAAACAAACTTAAAACAATATAGTTTATTTTTCATTTCATATAACTTATTTTATAAATAAATTTGAAAATTTGGTGGTTATGGTTTTGAAGAGTATAAATTAATTATTGTTAAAATTATATATTTATCTTAGTGAATTAATTTCTTAATTTTATTTTTGATTTTGTTATCATTAATTTAGTTTTAAAAAAATTATGTTTATAAATCAAATCTTAGAAATATGTAGGGATTCGAGGAGACGGAGATGAAAGACAAAATTCTTTTATGATAGAGATTTGAAATAAAGACATAAACAAATAATAGATTTAAAGACTGAGATTAAAATGAAAATATATTTCCGTCCTTGTACAATCCATTGTCATCCCTAATGTTAGAGAAATGTTTAGATTTCTAGTATATGATATAATGAAATGAAATGTAGTGATAACTAATGAGATTTTATTGTTTGGATTTATAAATAAATGATGAAATGGAATATAACATGATGAAATACATTCTATTTTATTTCATCCAATTTTTAATTTTTTATTCCATCCAATTTAAAATGTATGTGATGGAATTAGACATTTAAAAAAAAAAAAACTAAACAATATAATAGAATCTATATTTCATGGTTAAATTGTTTGAATCAAAAGAAACCACACTCATATTTGTTTAATATATATAATTAAAAACTCATAGGTGTGTCGTGGATGGGCGTTGGAAGAATATACTACAATACTCCTCATATCTGCGTTATCTTATCGCATGACCCATACAATGGCTGTGAATGGTACCGACTCAGAAACTCATAACAACATTTCGTTTCATTCAAGAAACCCCCAATCACCATTTCTAATAGCACTCCCATTCTTCAAACTCCCAATTTCACCACCACCTGAAATCCGCACATCCATTTCCAAAGCAGTTGATCATTGTTCCAAACTTCTCCTCTCCCTCGCCTCTCAAAACCCTATCTTAAACAAATTACTCTCACTTTCCTCTCACTTCCACGATACATGCTTCCAGGTAAAATATATATTAGTACTCAAATTCTTAATTTGGTTATGTATACTGTTGTGGGTTTTCATTTTTTTTTTTTTTTTTTTGTGGTTTATCAGATTCGGCTCAGTAACTATAGGAACAGGAGGTTGGTTAATATTCAGCACAATTTTGCTGCTGTTTTGCCTGGAGATTCTGTGGCTGGGTTAGTGGTGGCTAATGGGCTTCAGAATTTTTTGAACCTTTACAATACTTTGATTGTTTGTAGGCTTGTTCTTACCTGGTTTCCCAATGCTCCTCCTGCTATTGTTGCTCCTCTCAGGTGAATGAATGAGTCATTCTTTTATTCATTTGTTAGCTACAATATGGTAATTATGAAATAGATGTTGTAAATATTCAATGATGAAATATATTTAGTGTTAGAAAAGTGGTTAAGAATCTGAAAAATAGACTATGGTGGTTTGGGTGGCATAAAGAGAGAAGACCTGTAGGTTATGTGGTAAGGAGAGTAGATATGGAAATGAGTCAAACAAATAGAGGTAGAGTAAGACCTAGAAAAATTATAAGACTATGTTTGGATAATGTAAAACAAATGAAGCGGAACAGAGTGGAATGAAGCGTAATGGAATAAAGATGTCATTCCATTATTTGATATTTCATGATAGAATAGAGCAGTTTTGTCATTCCGTCCAAATCAGAGGGTACAAAAAATGATGGAATGCATTCCTAGCTCCATTCCATCCTTTTATAATTAATCCAAACGATGGAACTTATACCATTCCGTTCCATCTCATTCCATTTCACATCAATCCGAACATCGCTAAGAGAAGTTATTATGAAATATCTCGAGATTAATGATTTGGATAGAAATATGGTTTTGGATACAACATTATAGTGGAAGTTGATTCATGGAGCCGACTCCATTTAGAGGGATAAGACTTTATTGTTGTTGGTTGGATGGAGGGAGTTTCTTACGGGAACACAAAGAATCAATATAAACTCCAAAGCTTATGTTCCATGAGGGATAAGAGTGCACTTATATGATACTTTGCCGATGAAATGTAAGGATGTGAAGATATTAGGGGAATCTATTTCAGATAGAAAAATATGGCGCTTATGACTTATGAGGTGTTTAATTTAATTTGAGAAGGGTCAAAATGAGCGCGTAAGATCTACTCCAGAAGCCTGATGGAAGGTGTTGGGTTGTGGACTAGATGCTATTAGAGAGGAACCTGAATTTTCTGCATCAGAGAACCCTGTGTCAATGATTTGGAAGCTGTTTGATTGAAATTAGATGGTTTAGATTTTAAGCTCGGTAAATAAATTGAGAACATTGTAAAACTATGATTGAAATCGGATGTTGAAATGTTGTTGCAAACACTATTTGACTGAGGGAATCCATTTCCATTAGTGAGTACTTGAGTAGTGCCAAGCAAGTAGAATATAATAAGTTACCTTAAATTACCAAAACATTTGTTTCTGTTATTTCATCTCTTATGCATATGATGGTACGACCTAACTTCTGGGTATTGAATAACACGCTTTTTGTTTGACTCAGCTCCGTATGTGACCCGTATCTGAACGTATTCCGGGGACTTATTCCTCCTATTGGAGGATTGGATCTCTCTCCCATCCTAGCATTCCTTGTCCTGAATGCCTTCACTAGCACTGCTGCAGCACTCCCTGCTGAGCTTCCAATCACAGAACAATCTAAACAAGGTCTTGAAACAAGATTACAGCCTACTGATGTTACTTCTTCACAGAACAAATGGATGAGACGGCTTCAAGGGATCGGGTCAAAGACCTCTGCTTCTGCAAACTAGAATATCATAATGTTTTCATTTGTACCTCTGCCTGTTTACTTATTTAAATAGGTTTCTGTTGTAACTTCAGCTATCATAGTTCTAGGCAACACAATTTTTCGAACCTGAGATTCCTATGATTGTTTTTGTCAAAAGCTCTGAACTTATAATAATCATATCAATACCTTTTCTTTTCGCCTCGAATTCTCCTACTGTTCAACTGCTGATACACATTTTTTTCACCTTAAGTAAGCTAGATTTTGCAATTACACGTGATTTGTTTTGCAAGGGCATATGATATCAACCATTGGTATTATTTACTTTATTCTCTAAAGTGAATTGCTCACTGTAAAGGAACCTTGTCCGAAGATTGTGTATTTCTTTACATTAATTAATTTTGTGTAGACTGTAGACATCCATAGCACAGAAACAGACAGCATCAGATTCCAAATGAAATTTGAGCAGGAGCAGAATATTATGATTTGAGAAGAGAATCTGATTCATAATCATATCCATACAATGTAACAAGTACAAATAGCAACTGCCGTAGCCTTTTAGAAACATCCATGTGATTTCTAGTCCTTGCTCCATATGACATTATGGTGGTGGTTTTTCCCTAACAGTTCCACCATTTTTATTTCTTCCAAAAACAAACATCAGCTATACCACAGGGAGAGAACCAAGGACCAAGGTCACTCATAAATCATAGCATAGTGAATGGAACTTGAAGCTTGCAGAAGAGGAAGCAGATTTTCATTATATGAGAAACTAGCCACCATAGGTTTGGTGGCTCTAGCGGTGGCTTCTCCTCTTTATATGGAGCGCAAGCCAGAGAGTGACAGTGACTTGGAAGATGATGAACAGCCCATAAATGTTTCTGTTTGGTTGCCTTTGCTGCTTTTTTTATTGATTTTATGCATAGCTTTATCAGCTTACTTGGACCAGAGCTTCGCTGTGTTTGATCGTTACTGGATTCATAGAGTCTGTGGTTCTTCAGGTGGTATTTTTGTGATTATTGCTGTTCTTATTCTTATTTTGAAGTGGAAATCATCTCTGTAAGGTCATATAATGCTCAAACTGTGTTGTGAGATATGTTATAAGTGCGTAAGAATCTCTTTTTTACCATATTCTGTGAAGAAATGGATAGTCATCTTGCAATCTCCATGTCGAGAGAAGTAAATATCTTAACAAATTTTGATAGAATTTGGCTAAAGTACTTAAATGTGATTGTTAAATAAAATAGAAACCTCATTTTAATGTTAAAAAGTATATACTAAAATGACGAGCAAAAATAACAACCAATCCTGGTCATTCTACAAATGTTTAAACTCAAACATAAGTGATTACTTTCATGCTCGTCTGACATTTTTAGGTACATGTGATGATGTTTTTGAAGGTGTGAAAAACACAAGAAAAAATATTTGAATTGAATTTTTAAATTTTAATTAAAATATTTTTTCCTTCACTCTTGATAATAACAATAGTTAAGAACAGTAAGTAAAGAATAATATATGTTTATACTAGTTCACGTGAAAAATATCAAGCTAGTCTAGTCCATCCGTCAAAGTGATTTTGCCTCTTTCAATTGAAGATTTAATCCAATAACTCAATTGATTATTATAATGCACAAACTACCCGCAAGTGACTAACAACCTCTAAGACACACAAGTCATAGACTTCTTAAGGATACAGACCTAACCGGTCCCTTAAGGAAAATCAAACCTCTAAGACACACTAGTCATAGACTTCTTAAGGATACAAATCTAATCGGTCCCTTAAGGAAATCAAACAACTGTTTGAATACAAGTTTTGTTTACAATGATATTGCTTTTACACAAATTGAATATGTAAATTATTTTAAGAAGAATGACTTAAAAATATGAAAGTTATGAGCATCGCTTTATGCGTAGATATTTCGTTGATTGACAGCTTTCTCTCTTAGTCTTCAAGTCTTTATATAGTCAATAAAATAATATATCCGTTGAGGGGTACACTTGGAATTTCTAGAAATATTGGCAGATTGAGCAATCACATGGGGGACAAGATCGTGCAACGCGTTCGTTCTTTCATGATAGTGGAATGAAACATTATTGTATCATGTACTATTTGTACCACATTAACATTATCTTCTTTCCTTCTGCACTTTAGAGGCTTCTGTGAGCATGAGCTTAGAAGCGAAAATATAACACAAAGTCATTAAAACTTCAAGTCTTCAGAGTCTTCAGAATTACGTCTTCGGAGTCTTCGACACTTGATCGTGAGAATCTTTTCTTAGAACCTTGGGTCTTCAGAACTTCAAGTCAAGTAAAGTCTTTAGAACTTCTATCTTCAGAGTCTCCAGCACTTGGTCTTTAGAACCCTTATCTTTAGAACCTTAGGTCTTTAGAAACTTGAGTCTTTAGCATCTGGACTTAAGTAGAAACTTCTGTCTTCAGATCTTTTGTCTGTTTCTTTAGAATACGTTGTCTTCAAAAATATGAGTCTTCAGCATCTGGACTTAAGTAGTAACTTTTGTCTTCAAATCTTCTGACTTGTTTCTTTAGAACACATTGTCTTTAGAAGCATGAATCTTCAGTATCTGGACGTAAGTAGAAACTTATGTCTCCAGATCTTTTTACTTGTTTCTTTAGACAAACATCAACGCCTATACTCCAGAGTCTTTTGGAGTGTCTTGCTATTGTTCATCAGAATTTGTGTAGCACTGTTTACCGTGGTTATTGGTAAACAACCGCTGATCCTCCAAATGGTTACTTATTTGGTTACTCGCAGGATCGATCAGATTGATCCTAAGACATAGGTTGATTTTGAGGTTTTGATTAAATTGGATAATGGTTAAATGACAATAAAATAAAGAGGCTTTAAGTAAATTGCATGAAGAAATAGGCTTGGTAAAATAAATGAAGGCTTGAAGTAAAGGACTTCGACAGGGAAAGTAAAGAAGAAAGCAAGTAAAGTTTCTGGAAAAAAGTAAATGACTTTGATTAATAAAGGTGGTGTTTCACACATACATTCTCAACAATTCTTTCTCACACGCTGGGTACTCGAATCTATATGAGTGACTTTGTATATAATTGTGAACACACGCGAGAAACTGCGTGAACTACTACTATTTATACTAAAATATCCCAAATAACCGTCGGGCAGTTACACTGCTTCGAGATGATTCCACTTGGCACGTTCTCAACGTTCGACGCTCCAGATCTTTGCACGTTGCACTTGGTAACCGCTGGAAACCGTTTTCCCTCCAAATGCTTGAATTTCAAACCGTTCCACTCTGAACCATCGAACACCTTCGTCGAGAAGCATCTTCGACGAGAAACACCTTCGACGTCGAAGGCAACCAACTTCTCCCTTGGAAGAAATCTTCTAAGTACAGTGTCATCTTTCGATGAGCATTTCGACAGACCCAGCTGATCGAAAACATCATTCAGCTTTAATGGCTGATATTAATGAAACAAGGGTGTCGAATTTAAGAGCCAACAAATTGCCCCCCAAGAATGCCTTATTTCGACTCTGAAAGAAAAAGGCATTCTTTGAAATGCCATTCGACACCTGTCTTTTCATTCTTAGTCACAAATTAAATTGTGCACTTTTTGTTGTCTTCTACCAACCACTGACAATCCCAAGGAAAAACCATCATTCATCTGTACCTAAGACGTCACTTCAGTACGGCGTGCAGTGTGCCAAACGTCATTTCACAAATTGTCATCATGACAATTCCCAAAAACGAGGGCGCACGCTGCACCCTTCCATTTCTGCAGAACGGCTACAACAACAGGGAGACGCCACGTGTCCCACTACCTTCTGCAACATTAAATGACATTTAATGTCCTCGAATTTGGGGATTTCTCCCACTACTATAAATAGCAGTAAGTACCCATTGTGGGACTTTTTACGCTACCTTGCTTTCAGAATTCCTCATTTGCATACAAACTCTTGTCAACTTTGCAAACCCCTTGTTCTTCACTTCGTCCTCAACCTTAGTACCAACAATGGCATCTGGTTCTTCCAACGCTCCTAGCGCCAACACTCCCTCTGGAAATGTCAAACCTAGGGTTTTCTCCACCGCTCCCGTAGTGACTCCCACGGGCCAACGAAGGGTCCCTGAGCCTTTGGACATTGTTGTACGTGATGCTTATTCACGCCACCTCATGATTCCGGTTGGATATTCCAACCAAACCTTTGCTATGTCTGGCCCATTATACCCAAGCATTGCTGAGGCCATGAAGATCAAAAGTTACTTTTCGGTACTTGAGAGACTCAAACCGGTTGGATGCTCCAAGAAAGATGCAGAGGATAATGAAGATCCTGCTAAAGAGAAAATCGACCTCCGTTTCTTCAACAAAGGTGTTAGGGCTTTCAGGTCTGGCCCTAGCCTTACTCCTGATTATAGTGCTTGGCTGGAAAAAATGGAGAAACGCCAGGCTTCGATCTGGAAAGACATGGGGATATTCGACCTGGTTATGCTGTCGAAGACAGGTCTTAACTATTCCCCAGAGATGTTGATAGCTTCTTTACTCTTCTGGGACTACACCCATTTCACCTTCCATCTTCCCTGTGGAATGCTGACTCCCACGCTCTTCGACGTGGCCGCCATCACTGGCCTTCGACCCACTGGGGACTACTTCGACCCGGAGGAAATGTCGGAGGATCAGATTGGATTCTCCGCCACAAAACCAACCTACACCACCTTCATCAATCATTACCACGATAAGTCGACAGATGCTGTGTCGGATGTCGAACATATTGCGTTTCTAGCCTTATGGCTGACACGCTTTGTGTTTTGTTCCAAGTCCTTACAGGTGACCAAGAAGATGGTCACTCTCGCCACTCAACTCCACCATGGCCAAAATATCTGTTTGGCAGAATTGATTTTGGCGAGTCTGTATGAGTCGATTAGCAACAAAGCGACTCTTCTGAAGATCATCGAGAACAGAGCCAGTCTGCTGCTTGCTGGACCTTTTTGGCTGCTTCAGTTGTGGCTCAATGCCACCTTCGAGTCTTTCTTGCCTAAGAGGATTCAAATAAATGAGCAGGCTCCAGAAATAGCAAACAGACGCGTCGAAGGCACCAGATTGGCTCTGTTGACTCCAACGGAAGATGGGCTGGAGCTTCAACAAACCTTTACAAACTTCGTCCTGATGTTTTCTAAAAGGAAAGAGTTTGCTTCGACCATGGCTCCGTTTGCTCGACGAAAGGTTGGCCCATAGTGGTTCACAAGGCCACATCCTAGGACGTCGAGTGGTCCTCAGGTCGACGAACATAGAACAGTGTGGGAGGCATTTCTCACACCAAGAATAATGCCCCTTCGATTCAAGAGCTCTAAGACTCACCTGAGTCTGATCGCGTATCAACCAAACCTGGTGTCTCGCCAGTTTGGTATTATCCAAACACTACCTTCTCCAATTTTTCCCAGGGAGAAGTCTATGTTATACTTCTGCAACGACTATACTGAAGAAGCTGCCACTAAGCATATCGGCAGATATGCTGGTCGAACAGTTCTTTCGTTGTTTGACTATCAGCTTAACTTTCTCTGCTCACCATCCTTCGAGGAGTGGTGGAAAAGTTACTACGCTGAGGAGTTTTTCGATGAGAAGGACTTCGTGGATGAGCTTCAGAAATCTTTTGTCCTTGTCTTGGACAAAATAAAGAAATGTAAGTTCATCTTTCCAAATTACTTTGTCTTTCTCTTTCGACTGCTAGCCTGTTAATTATTTTGTCTACTTTCAGTTGTTCGAAAGCCTGCAGCCAAGAAGGCTGCAGAAGGCCAACAGGGAGGAGGCCCCTTAACAAAACCTCCACCGCCGGCGAAGACTATAGCGCCGGTGAAGACCACAACAAACCAACAGGGGGAAGGCCCTTCGAAAAAGCCTTCTGCATCGGTAACCAGACTTTCATTATTTTCTTCTGGCTTTGACTTTTTGACTTTCGATGCAACTGCTAAATCGAACTCCAATTGGTTTTTTAGGCACCTTCGCCCAAGAAACGGCCAGCACTGACGGTCGAATCCGGGAGCGACGAAGAAGATGATTCTCCCCCTGCTCCTCTAAAAAGGCGAA